GTGGTCGGTCAGGAAACGCAGCTATGAAACAGCTGCTATACTAAATAATAAGAGAAAAAGAGACAAACATATAGCATTACGCCTGCAAGAGAATGAGACGAAATATAGCTATACAGTTTTTCCTATTCTCGGTCTCCTCTTTATGCTATGCTTCGTAGTTATCGCTTCTGGTTGTATAGGTGTGTGTTTGTGTGCTACTGCATACTACACAGCGTGGGCACAAATTATTTCGATACTCGAAATGTATCGTAGGTTATAGCGATAGAAGGGTAGAAGAATAAACAGAGATAAGAACGTAGGTATGCGTCAAAAGTATAAGATCCAAACGAACCGACTGTCGAAATAAAGAAAGAAGGTGCGTGGTCTGTTTTTATGTTACCAAACGTGTTATTTCTTTTCTATTTAAAAATGTTTCTATTTTATTAAAAAATTAATATTAAATTATTTATTTCGCAAATATTATTATAATTAATAATTATGAAATATATAGATTAAAATAATTGTATTGTCTGCAATATTTTACAAAAAAAATTGATTATTGGATACATCAGAGAAAAAGAATTAGAAAACACTGCAGAATATTTTTCTTATAAATATCCAAAGACGTTTTTTAATTATAATGTTTGCGATTTAAGAAATTTATACTAATTTTTCAATAAAATAGAAAAGTTTTTAAATAGAAGAAACTAGACACGTGACAAAAACAAATAAACCTTATTTACTTTATATTTCCAATAAGAATACCATAAGAAATCTTATTTTGCAAATATAGAAAAAAAAATATAAAAAATAAATTAAAAAAAAAATTTTTAATATTATAAAATAAAACAATGGAAATGATAAATAGATATTAAAATCGTTGTAATTCAAAACCTGATGAAACGAAAAAAATACGACCAGAATTGTTCCCTTCTTTTGCAGCATCTTCAGGTATTAGTTACAACACAGAAAGAAATACTTGTGTATGTTAACCCATAATAAAGATATCTCACATCCACAGAAAGTGTGAAAAGTGTAAAAGAAAAAAAATTTATCTACCTGAGTTTCAAAAAAAATATATATTTACTTGGGTTAGGATGGCGTATTTTTCTGTCGACAAATATTCTACAATTTTTGTTTCTATCTATGACTATCGCATTCAGCATTCCATTTTTATTGCTTGAATTAGGAAAAGTGTACTTTTTATCAGCTATTCCACCCAAAGACCATACTGGTGACATTTATTAAATATGGTAATAGTATTATAATAAATAAATTTTACCATTATCTTATTTTTGAAACTGTGCATTCGTCTCATTCTCTCGAAATTTAGATTTTTGAAGGTTTCACTTCTAACACGTGTGATCTGCACACATGATTTTTTTTGTTTAAATTAATAAATTATATATAATTACTATTCTATTCCACAACCTTTTCCCCATTTTTAAGGGTAACTTAATAATTTCATTTTTTCATAACTTCTCAGAGTTTTCTAGCAAAAGAACTTTACGTTATCTATCGACAATCTGCACGAACTTTCTGGACAACCCATATACATGTAGGATTAGGTTAAGTGTAGAGGTGCGAGGTTAACGTACATCTAATTTAATCCTACTGATAAAATATATTTAAAATAGGTATTAGAAAAAATACAATAAAGGCTTCACAATCTTATGATAAAAACTGACATACGAAACTGAACTTTTTCAACTATATGACGACGAACAACGACTAAGGATGACTGGTGACTGGCAACTACTCATGACAACTCAATACCCGCTATTTTTTATCCATCTTATTGCGGTTCTCGAATTTTGCAAAACGTCTGGTCTGATGCAATAAATAAAGCATCGGTATCGTTCGAGAACCTTCTAGACTCACACATCTTACACAACTTACAAAGACAAACTAAACACCTTCTTTCTTTATTTCAACCGTCTTCTTACTTAGTATCGTGGCCACTTGATTGCCGCGCTACATCGTCCCGCTACATCGCCGTGTTTCATTTTTTCAAATCACCCCTATTCTAAAGAAGTTTTCACTTCAAAAAAAAAAAAGATTCTTAAATGTTCATATTTAGAGAATTTTTAATATTTTTTTACTCCTAAATAAAATTTCTCGCGGACACATACTTACGTACATACGGAAATATCTATATTATTATAGATATTTTTAACCAAAATAAACTTAAATTAACTCAAATTAAATTAATACGAGTAATATTTAGTAGCTAAGCCCTTATTCCTTAAAACTTTAGCACACCTACGTTCCATAGATTCGACAAGTCAAACGCATAGTGTACGATCCGAAATGATCGTACGGCAACTAGCTGTATTCAAAATGCGATTCTATCTATTACGATTCTAGATCGATACTTGTTACGAGTATCGAAAAATTACAAGCAAGTATCAAAGAGCTAGCGATAGCGACCCCTACCTCTCGCATCCCCACCTCTTACATACCCACCACATGCTCCCTGCTGGGCCAGTTCAAAGGGATATTCTTCCTATTTCATCACTGGACGCCTACGAGGACACATCTTTAGCACCTAAGGACGATAGAAGGCTACAAGGAACAACAAAGAACTATAAGGATTCACCAAGGACAACAAGGGAACACCTCAACCTTTACGGTTATGAACGTAAGAGAAATTTACACCTTAACCTTTACGGTTGTGATCGCTATAAGCGAAGCGTGCGAGAGGTGAGTGGGAACGTAAGCAAAGCGGACAAGAGGTGAGATCTCTCCATTGTATTCATTTCACAAGAACGGTAATTTCCTCGCGTGGCGACGCCACGTGGTTGTTCCTTATTCTTATATTCGACATATCAACCAGGTTTTTTACGCCAACAAGGCTTTTTCCTGACGAGCCTATAAAGCATTGCATCTTTGATTGGCTTAACCACGTGTTTTATTTTACACCTGAATTTAACCCCTTATTTTTCACATCATAGCACATACAAAATTGCCAGAGGACTCTTAATTGAGAAATTTAGGCCATAACAATTATCCAACTTTACCAGCTAATGTTGCTGAAGCTATATATCCAATTTATGAAGACCTTAGCAACGTAAAATTATTGGAAATTATCGGAAGGGTGGGAACACCTCCCACTTGCTCAAAATGCTTCCTTCACTACCCACTTTCATTCGGTAGACTGCAAATTTTGAGATATGACATGCTGCTGACTACGATTCCACGAAATGGAAAAATATCAGTTACTATCAACCGTGGATCTTGCGAATTTAGAAAAATATAATTTTTTATTTAAACAAATATCAGTTATGGTTACCCGTGAACTCTACAAAAAGACACGCGCGTTCTATTTTTGAAGCGTGATCTCAACTATAGTCAGCAGGAAAGTGAGTATTGTAGGATTGCAAAAGTTTACCTATCACTTACTTTCTCACGATCATGAACGAAAATGGATCCTTGCTATTCTGTTTACGTGTGATCAACTAATGCCAATATCGATGGTCGTTCATGAATGTGGTTATAAAATAAAATTGAAAATACAAATATATTACAAAGTACGAATATAGCTAACTAGTAATTAATAAATGACTTATAAATAGGACACTCGCACAATAGGTGTAGCAAAGTTCGAAATTAGTCGTCACTGGGACGTGACACCTCCCCCCTTAAAGAGAAGCGTTAGGGAATTTATTCTCTAGGGCTTCGCTACTCGCGGATTTTGTGAAGGAGTTCTTTGTCCATTTGGAACCGCACTTGATTACCGGATGTATCGTCAGATTTTCGGGTGATTTTTCAGGGGTAAGTTGGTAATTACTACCCAAAGATGTCGGCTCCAGTACTGACAAGGGCTCCCCTGCAGTGACCCTTCGCAGCTGAACCGCTTAACCGGCCTCCTCGTCCGCAAGTTTCTGACGACGACAGAAGGCCGATAATTGAACCCTTTTTCCTTGAGTAAGAGAACGCTCCAATCGTAAATCGCTTGCAGGGCACAGCTCCGAAGGATAAAATCACTTCTGCGACATCGTCTACCAGACCACTCAAATCTACTTGATTGACCAAATTCATAGTAGATAGAGTGTCAATTGCTATCCCTCAATGCATCCCCTGCCATTGTGTTTAGCTCGGATAGTTGCCCGATAGGGAACATTATATAATCCCGGAAATTGGCTAAATCAGCTACCGAACATATTCCACTCGTCGCCTAACTCGCAGCGTCCAAATATCTCCACAGCATCATGGAATTTGGTTGAAGTGTCTGTGGCTCTCTAGCGTTGGTTGGTTTAGGTAGAAACATACATCACTCTCTTTTCGCTAGATATTCCTGCGGCTAATCCACATTACGTAACTCAATTGTTCCGGTTTTGACCGAAGTTCTTGGTCGTAGAAAGACACTTTTATTCTGAAAAACTACTGAAAGTTCTTAGAAGCAATCCTTCGTGTGGTGCACCTTCAATTCACTAGTCATGAATAAGCGTCCCCGTGTTATTTCGAGGATAAAGAATTTCAGGTGATTAGTGTATAGCTGCGCACGTGATGTTTAGAAGTTTTATTTAATGCGAATGTTATTTCTTGCACTAACGGTGTACAGAATCAATGAAAGGATAGACACATTACCAGAGATCAGTTGCATTGGCAGTCCTTCGTATAAAATAGATTAATGTTTGAAGTCACAGACGGATTCGCGGGAAAGGTGGTCTCAAATGCACTACTGTTTTCATCTAATAAACATTGGCCTTCAGAAAACGTGCACTTGATACCGTTGATGTGTTGGCGGCTGTTCCGCCGCAATCGTATCCCAACAATGCAGAAGCTACGGTGATATAAAAGATGATGATGCAGCAAAGTTCGGAATGCATCTTCTCTGTTGCAAGCGTATAGTTCGTTACAAAATTATTTGTTATAAAAAATAGTATATTACTCACCTAGGGAGCAAAGTATGGCATTCCGACCCGCGTAATATTAACTCGGTAAAAACTCGTAAAAACGCGGGTCGGGATGTCATACTTTGCTCCCGTGGTGAGTATACAATTTTTTCTCAAACCTGGATCGAAAGTTCGCTTGTAATTAAATAATAATATACTAATTTTCTACCCGGGCGAAAAGCGCCTACTTTTCTCCCGCTGCATCTGTAAGAAACGTAGATGTCGCTTCCCGCCTTCCTCTCTTCTCGCTGCGTAAAACGAAGTTGCCGCTTTCTTACTATACTGTCCTAGGTATGTAATATACTATTTTATTTGTTGTCAATTAATACATTTTGCGAAGATTATGCAAATTTAACAACAATCAAGGGGTCCAGGGGTGAAACCCCTGATGGGGGCCTGGGGGCGAAGCCCCCAGAAAAAAAAATCAGGGGGGTCCGGGGGCACAGCCCCCGGCGGGGGTTGAGGGGGCGGAGCCCCCCACTTTARAAAAATTTAAATATAAAAATAAAATAAAATATAAAAAAACTTATAAAAAAACTTAAAAAAAAAGTTAAATATAAAATTAGATTCTATTAAAAATATACATTATTGTTTAATTTTAAAAAATATTTTTTAAAATAAAATTTAATTAATTAAATAGGGAGTTTATAAATTATTATTATTGTGGGGAGTGTTGAGAATCGAAGAGGTTGTGTGTGTAAGTCTGTGTGAGTCCAAAAAAAAGCATTTAAATGAAATTCAAATCGAGAACGAAGTGATTGATTCTTTGACCGTCAATACACCTTTTGTCACTTTCAAGAATTGTAAGTTTAAACAGATTATAATAAATAATAACAAATACAACTCTCATAATCAAGAAAATAACTAAATGTATACGTAGTAACCTATTTATGTTTGTAATATTTAAGTAAACAAATATCTTTAAAACTTGTAAAAATAAATAAAATATAAAATATATGAGACAACACATGTTATTAAAATCATTAATTATATATCATAATATATAATATATATAAGCATGAGCAGTAATTTATTAAAACMTTTTTAAGGTTAAGGAACTAGTGCGCATGCTTCTATTTTTTAGCGCATGCGCACTAATTCGTTACTACATTCAAGCGGGAGGGAATGAGGCACTTTTCTCCCTGGCACAGATTCAACCGGGCGGGAATGGGGCACTTTGCTCCCTGAAAACAGGGAGCAAAATACGTACTTTCCATCCAGGTGTGAGAAAAAAAACATAAACATATACATGTATTGTCATTTTACGAAGAATATTCTAATTTTTTTGTTTAGCTTTATTCACTTTGTCTTGATGGACAATTTTGCTTCCATTTTTAAAGCTAATTTTGATATTATTTCTAGGCAGCACTTCTAGAATTTGGTGGAGGCCAGTGTATTGATCTCCAAATTTAGGTGTCAATAGTTTTAAAAGATAAATATTTTGTCCGACTGCAAGATTCTGGCCTCGAGCATTCCGATCATAATACAATTTTGATCTTATCATTGCACCCATTTGGTTCCGTCTTGCTATTTCCTGAGTTGTGTGTGTCCTAATCTTATGAACTAAGTCTATGTAATATTTTAAATATGTGTTTTCCAGCCAGGTATCACTAAGCGTTGTTCCCGAAGGAACATTTGCTTGTCTGTCGAATACTAACTCGTGAGGGGTGAACCTTGTTCCCTCATGAGTACTAGTGTTGTACGCGAACATAGCGTGAGTGAGCCAYTTATCCCACTCTTTCTTTTTACTAATAAAATGTTTTAAGTATTCTGTCAAAACTATATAAGAACGTTCAAGCGACCCATTTGATTGCGGATGGAACGCTGTCGTTCTAATTTGTTTACAACGATATTGCCTCGCTATTGCCCTTAGTATGGAGCTCGTGAAATTTGTCCCCTGATCGGTCAAAATGGAGCGTGGAGCTCCGAATACGTTACAAAATTTTTGGATCATAGCTTCAAAAGCTATTTGAACATACAAATTTATTTTCTATATTTTTTTTCTCTATATTTGTAAAATAAGTTATATTATTGTATTTTTATTGGAAATATAAAGTAAATAAGGTTTATTTGTTTTCGTCACGTTTCATGTTTCTTCTATTTAAAAACTTTTTTATTTTATTGAAAAATTAGTATAAATTTCCTAAATACGCAAACATTATAATTAAAAAACATGTCTTTGGATATTTGTAAAAAAAATATTCTACAATGTTGTCTAATTCTTTTTCTCTCATGTATCTTAAAATCAATTTTTTTTGTAAAATATTGTAGACAATACAATTATTTTAATCTTGATATTTCATAATTATTAATTATAATAATATTTGCGAAATAAATAATTTAATAATAATTTTTCATAAAATTAACATTCAAAAAGAAACATTTTTACATAGAAAAGAAACGACACGTTCGGTAAAATAAAAACATATTACGCACCTTCTTTCTTTATTTGGTCCGTCGGTTCGTTTGGACCTTATACTTTTGTCGCATACCTACGTGCTCATCTCTGTTTATTCTTCTACCTTTCTATCGCTCCTACCTACAAACATTTCGAGTATCGAAATAATATGTGCCCACGCTTTGTAGTATGCAGTCGCACACAAACACACACATATACAACCAGGAGCGATAACTACGAAGCATAGCATAAAGAGGATACCGAGAATAGGAAAAACTGTGTAGCTATATTCCGTCTCATTCCCTCGCAGGCTAAATCCTATGTTTGTCTCTTTTTCTCTCATTATTTATTATGGCAGCCGTTTCATAGCTTCGTTTCATAGCTCCGTTTTCGTTTATTTACTTTTCCGATCACTCCCATTCTAAAGAAGTTTTTACTTCAAAAAAAATTCGATTTTTCGAAAGTAAAATCCCTAACTTGCCTCTTAAGGCAAATTACGATTTTGCAGTTTTCAGACTCGATAGCATTGCAAAGTTCTCCTTGGACGCGTAACCATGGTATGCCATCGATACAGGTCGTCTTTACTATGCTTATTGATTCTAGATTAAGTTCGCGTGCAACGGAAAGTAATGCGCTAATTGCTTCGACTAGTATTTCAAATTTAGTAGCATTAGCGGCATGTTCCTTAATGGGTATTATTATTAATTTATATTTTCCAAAGCTCGTTACCCTGGCGCAAGCTAACACTAGCCGTTCTAATTTTGGGAGGTGTTTATTTTTGCTTAAAAGTTGGGCACCTTCGTCGCACGGTGTACCGTCAATATCCGTAACGACTACCAGGTTTTCACGTCTCAAATGTAATGAGTATCTTGTTTCTTTTACGTTATCTGTCAGCATTCCTAAGTTCGTATTTAGCCTTGTCGGTATCTGTTTATCATTGTCAGCTGAATCGCTGTTGCCTTCAACGTCAGAGTGTACGTCACTTATCTTATCGCTAACAGCGGAGGACAACGTCACGTCGGAGTCATCCGTCTTGTCAGATGCTGCGTCAGATTCCCAGTCCTCGTCGTCTTTTGTTATGCGTCTGGTATTGAATCGCACCGGACTGTCATCTGAATCTCCTGCATATATAGGGAGTATGTTTTTCGTCTCCATCGGATTTCGGGATAAAGCGTCARCATTGGCATTTGCAGTGCCGGGTTTATACACAATTTTAAAAGAGTAATCGGCTAATTTAAGACACTATTTCGTGAATCGCGAAGTTGCGTCTGTGACCGATTTCAACCAAACTAAGGGTTTAAGATCGGTTATCAAAGTAAACTCTCTGCTATACAAAAAAGGCCTAAAATAATTTACTGCGTATATATAAGTTCTCTTTCAATCGTAGAGTAATTCTTTTCTACTTTATTCAGAATTCGCGAGCAGTATGAGATTGGTAAGTCCTTTCCAACAGGACCCTTGCTTAAGACGGCACCAATTGCATAACCTGATGCGTCTATTGTTACGTTAAGGGCAAGGCAAAATTTGGGTACTGTAAGATCGGTTCCTTGCACAAGGCTTCACGTAGCGAAAAAAATGCATTTTCCTGGGTAACTCCCTAGCAAAATGATGCATCTTTTTTTATTAAATCCATTAATGGTTTTGCTACTTTAGAGAAGGCAGGAATAAACCTCCTATAATATCCGGCAAGTCCTAAAAATTGGCGAACTGATTTTGCGTTACTCGGACGCGGAAATTCCCTGACAGCTTCTAGTTTCTTTGGATCTGGTTTTACATTGTTTTCCCCAATGATATGTCCYAAATAAATTACTTCCCGTCTCAGAAATTCGCACTTATCGGGTTGTAATTTCAAATTTGCTTTACGGAGTCTTTGAGCGAGTTTATTAAACTTTGCCTCATGCTCGCTAAGTGACCTTGCGTAAAGAACGACATCATCCAAATACATTTCGCCCTGTAAACCGGTCAAGACATGATCAATCATCCTTTGAAAGGTTGCTGGAGCGTTTTTCAAGCCAAATGGCATTCTGCTGAATTCGAAATGACCGTACGGTGTCGAGAAAGCTGTCTTTTCGCGGTCATCCGGATGTATTTTTATTTTGTGAAATCCGGATTTTAAGTCAAATGTCGAAAAGTATTTTGCCGCGCCGAGTTGATCCAAAATTTCGGTTATGTTGGGTAAGAGATACGCGTCTCCTACTGTTTTTTTGTTCAAATTTCGATAATCGATCACCATCCTCCATTTATGATTTCCCTTGGAATCCGCCTTTTTGGCTACAATCCATATCGGAGAATTGTACTGTGAAAGAGATGGCCTAATTATTTCGTCTTTTAGCAACTCAGACATCTGTTTCCTAACTTCTTCCTTGTGAACCGGAGGGAATCTGTTCTGTTTAATATGCACCGGGATATTGTCACTCGCAGTGATCTTGTGTTGCAAAATATCGGTGCTTCCCAAAGGTTCGCCTGGCAAATGGAAGAAATCGGCGTTTGCAGCAATTAATTTTCAAACAGACTCTGCCTCTTCCGTATTCAGGTGTTCGAGACGGAGGAGGGATTTAACGGATTCCGCTCGAGAGGGTGCTGAGGTAATTTCAGATTTTGGAGCATCTGTTTTGGGAGCGGTGTTTGCGGAGGTAGAGGCAAAAATGGCATGTATTGCATTGACGTATTCGTATGGATCGGAATCAGGAACTTCGGATATAGGATCAGAATTACTGATCTAGAAGATATAGAATCAGAGATACTGAACTTGAAAGAGTTTCAATATTATAATCCAATAATTCTACCGTCGGAATTGCTAATGAGACGAGCTCTGAAGTCGTGTTTGATACTTTAAAGTATGCTTTTCCGTTCCTATTTCTCACCAAGGCTTCACCAGCGTAAATTCCAGGTGGAAATTGCAAACGAGGAATATACCCTTCCTTAGCTTCGGTGTTCGCGACGTAGCAATAACAAATTTGTGAAGTTCGCGACGGAATACAAATACTTTCGTCGGTTACAAACGGAATCGTTTTATTGCAAAATTTGAGACATTCGTTTGTATAATCAATTAATTGAATATGATTGAATGGGAAAATTTTCCTTGACTAAGTGAAATTTAACGTCTTCTCCAAATATGCTAATTTTTACAGTACCAAGGGTGTTATGCCTTTTTGGAGAGATGCCTGTTGCTTGTATCGTTTCGGTAGCGTTTATCTTGATCGTTGTGCGTAACACATTAACCCTAATCAAATTTACTCCAGCGCCAGTGTCGATCATAAGTGTCACGGTATCAGTCAACTTTCGGGAGGTACACGTGACCAAGGGAGAACTATTAACCGGTTTATATTTTATTTGTCTAATTGCGACGGTCCCGGTTTTAATTGCAGAGTTTGAGGATGCGGTTTGGGAGAAGGGGAACGGCGTGCGTCCGCTGCCGTACCCTTTTCGTCGTTTCCCTGATTTTGCAATTTTCGTTTGTTTCTATTATATTTTAATTTCCGACACTCATGTTTCCAATTTCCTATTTTTTTTTGCAATAATTGCAGCGCTGATTTCGTCGCTGTCCCGATTTAGGTTTTGAATTTGGCGCACTTTTACCGGACTACTTCGAATTACCATATTTTTCCTTATTCCAACAATTATGCTCCAGGTGACCCTGCTTATTGCAGTGTCCGCAAACCACTACTTCTCTAATCGGTCTTATATTAGCAACGCGGCCCCTTAGGGATGAGGAGGTCGTTCTCCTTGCGTCATCCTGAATTTACTTATCTATCCGAAGCAAACAAATTAGAGTGGAGCTAAAGTCGGCATATCGCTCAAATCGCAATGCGGTACGATATTC